ATTAAAATTTTTATCTCTAGTGATAGGTGTATGAATAAAGCTATAAACTAAATATCTCTAAAACTTAATCAATATATCCTTTTTGATATAATACTAATAATCTTTGTAATTTATATCTGAATATCTTAATGCTAATAATGTAAGCTATCTCATTCATATCAATCATCTTAAAATTCTTAGTGAAAAATATCTTAATTTTATTAAATAAATCAAGATCATTGTTGGTAAAAAAAATATCATCCACATATATGACTAATGCAATAAACTTGTACTCACTAACCTTTAGATATACACATTGATTAATAATATTTTTTAAATCTAAAAAAAATGATGTCATGAAACTTTATATATCATTATTTGAAAGCTTGTTTATAATCATAAATATTTTTTTATTTTTGTAAGCCTAATTTTCATTTTCCTTCTCTCTCTCTCTCTCTCAATCATTTTGATTGTTCTATATAGATTTTCTCATCTAGATCTCTATTAAAAAAAAACTATTTTCACATTATATATCTCAAAGTTATCATGAGCTACTAATATCATAATGATTCTCGATGAGTTCTTTTTAAAAATTATAAAGAATATCTCGTTATAGTTAATGTATTCTTGATGAGAAAACCTATGACCATAGATTTAGTTTTATATTATTCAATATTATCTCTTAAATCATATTTTATTTTAAAGAACTATTTACAATCGACTATTCTATAGTTATTGGACAATACAATGAGTTTCTAGATATTATTTTGGTCCATAAATTTTAATTCTTCTTTCGTTATATCATATCACCTTTTAAAATTACTACTTTATATGGTTTATGAGAATAATAAAGGGTCTCTTTTGATTATTAGAAATGATAGATCTCATTTTCCTTTGAAATCTTCTTAAGACTATTGATTGTGGTTGTTCTACAAGATCAACATTATATAGGAGTTTATCAATATTTATTTTATTATTTATTCTTATCAATTTGTTTAGTATTTTGAGAAACAAAAACCTCTCAAATAGAAAATCATAATAGAGCATTAACTTATTTCTTTTATATCAAAATAAATTTTTTAAGATTTTTCACTCCACTGATTTTATTATTTTTTAAAAATATTACATTACTAAATTCTATTATCTCGTACGAATAATTAGGCTAATAAAATCTATATCTCTTAAATTTTTTGAGATAACTAATTAAATATATAAAAATAATTCTTGGATCCAATTTTTTTTATATGGATTAAATACTCTTATCTTTATATGATAATTTTGAATATGTAAATATCTCAAACTATGTTTCGTACCAGTTCATAACTCAAATAGAGTTGATAAACTGACTTATAAGAACCATATTCATGATATATATATATAGCTATCATAAGAGCTTTACCTAACATCGACTAAAATATAGAGAAATAGCTCATTATACTCATAATCATATCCATAAGATTATTGTTTCATATTTTAGCAATATTATTCTACTACAATACAGTTAGTAAGGTATACTAAGCATAAATACATCATCTTTCTAAAAATTTAGTAAAAGAACTAGAATTTTAACTTAACTTATCATACCTATCATAAAATTCATCACTCATATCAAATCTGACAATTTTAACTTTAACAATCTAATTATTTCTTAATTTTATTTGTATATATATAAAAAATGTTAATAACATGAGACTTTTTATATATTAGATATATATAGTCATATCTTGACCAGTTATCAATAAATGTGATGAAATATCTTTCTTCACTAAGATGAAAAATATAGAGTAATCTATAGATATCAGTATGAATAATCTTAAAAACTTTATTTCTTATGGTATTTTTCCTTATACGCTTAGTTTGGTTTCTTTTAATGCAATCAAAACAAACATCAAAATCAATGAAGTCTAAATCTTCCAAAATATTTTTTTATTAATATATTATTAATTATAATAATTATTAAATATTAATTAGTATAAAAGAAGACTCATTTGATGACTATAATCATGATAAAATGTAAATCATAACTTTATGTGAGAAATAAATCTTATTTCATAATTTTTTATATCGACCAAAAATAATCAATTTCATGAGGATAAAATATGAATTTTATAACTAAGGGCATAAGTCAGAAATAATTAATAGTTTTCGATGAAAATTTGAAGGATAAAAAAGTTGCCAAGGGATATCGATGGGAATTAATAGCTTTTATAAAGGCAAAATTGACCTTTAGTAGGGCGGATGCCCTAAAACCTTCACCCTAAATTGGTCGCATCACAATATGCTTACACCAATACCTAGCCGTGCAAGTCCTCATCGACAACGCATCTCACGGTGGCATTTCCACCACCATCTACCATCGTCGCTTGTCACCTGGAGTAGCACCACCGTTGCCCCTGGTGTATCCCATCGCCATGCACTACCTACGATCGCTATAGTACATAGCATGTCTACCACTTACCATGCTATGAAGCGATGGCCTCCATTGTGCATGATCGACTCTCCATGGGCTCCTTCCATTATGTTATCTTCACGATATATGACCTCTTCACCACGGTGTGGCTATGCCCTTAATGCCGACATAGCATAACCTATGGATCACCATTGTCTCCCAATCATGCGATGCAGTTTTTTTCTGCAATCAATAATGCAACATCGCTATCCGTCAAACCCTCACCACAACCAACATCACATGAAAGCTACATGATTGACGGTGAATCTAATAGCACCAGTCGCGACAATACATGTGATCGAGATGCACATCGTGCCTCACCACCATGAAGCTTTCTCCATTTCACTATGACTCACTTCCATGATGCCCAAGCTACTACCGACAATAGCAATCACCCACAGCAAGGCCATCACACACCAGCTCGACCAACAACCAAAGTAAGTTGTTTCCCATCATAGCACCATTGCACGTAGCAACATTGCGGCTCATAATAGGGCCAATGACTATAATAGTCCATCGCGCTTTGCCCGAGCTCCTATAGACAACAACAACGATGTCTTCATCACATGCAATAGTGACATTGTATCCTAACAAAGCCAAGGACCATAATAGGCCATCGACCACTTGTTGCATCACCATCAGTAACAAGTTTCCATCCATGATAGCATTGACGACATATCTTTTAATCCTACATTGGATTGTCATGGATAGTAAGCCATCTATGGAAGCCCATTAACATAGTCTGATAGTAACCTTCCAATCTTTCAAAGAATCACTATGAGCAATAGAATATGGACTAGAGGGAGATGAAAGTAGATATATAATCTTATGTTTATTATCGTATATTATCATATTGAGTTTCTAGAAGATTTTATCTATGATAAGTAATTATGAGAGTCACTTCCATCAATGTTATCTTCTAAGGATTTCTATCATAAATAGACTTCATTCATATTGGTCAATGATCAATATTAGATATCAATCAAAACTATAACACATCCTATCTAATTAAATATGATCATATAATCTAACATACACATGATAGAAAAATATTTATTTTTAATCCATCTCGATACGTAGAAGAAGATAAAAGCCTTCGATAATAGCCATACCTAATAGATAGGGGAACAAATATAAAAAGCAAATTGGACACAGTTATCGTGGTATGATTATTCTCATTCTCACATGTATTTAATTCATTTTGAAAATCTAAGTTGAGCGTTAAAGATATCATGTTGGTAACTCCACACGATATTGGTCTTAACATAGGTTGACTCCACATTAAACATATAGAGGCATATTGAAAATATTAGTTGAATTGGTCACATACCTCAATTTGGAGAGAAACTGAGCAGAGTTATTTTATCGGATTGAATTGTAATAAATGGTGTATCAATGAGGACCTGTTTGATGTCTCATCATTTCCATTATTTTGATCAATTAAGACAAATCGAAGATTGCACTCATGAGGAAATCCATGTAGGTTTTACTTTTACTGGCCATTCCCAGCGTCTTAGGTCTTAACTTTGTCAGCCTTGGTTGTTTCTTTGCCTCTGTGTTTAATAGCTTCAAAGCAAAGGAAAAAAGGATTGGGGATTGTTAGAAATGGAATTCATTGTCGATTGGGACTAATTTGGATTCTGTGTAGGCTACGAATCTATCCCTGTTTTCACATAAGAAATGACATGAAGAACCCATCAAATGGCAAAGAAGCCAATCGACGAACCCCATATGAACTAACGTATCTAAATGGCTTAGGGTACACGTAGCGGCCATAAGATGACCTTTTAATTTATTGGATACCATAACCATATGACTGTCAATACCCATAAATATTATTGAGGGACATTAACAAGAAAAGATTTCTCTTAAGTACGTTCTAATCTCGAACCTCCTAAACTAAGACAGATAGCTTATGCTTCTTATGATCTTTTACGTCCATAATAAATAAATATTAAATTGATCACCAAGGATATTTTGTAAGTACACCCTAGTGAATGAATCCAAGAGTGATGTATACTTGTTCTTACTTTAGGAGATATATCCATCAACTAAATTGTGACTCTCGAACCATATTTCATATTTCTCTTTTTTTTATTTTAGAAAATGACATTTGAAAATGAAAATGAACCATGTCGGATTAATTTAGTCATGCCATGTTAATAATCAAATTTAAATGTGTCAAATAGTTTGACATATTTAAAATTCGTATTAAAATTACCTAACAAATCCTATTGGAAACTGATATGATGCGTGATCATCTACCACATTGTCCTCCAATCTCGATGGAAGGAGTGAGGGATCATCTACTCAATCATTATTGCTTAATCTAATATTAATCTTACTTAATGATTAATTTATTAGATTAAATCCATGTCGAGTTTTTATTGAAATAAATATTTTTCCTATATATATATATATATATATTTATTTATTTATATTGTGTGTGTGTGTGTGTGTGACTTGACTGGTGACTTGTGAGAACCTTGCTCAAGAAGAAAAATATCGTGGTATAAAAGTCAAGGTGGGACCCACCTCCCTCCCAACATTATTTAGGGCACCAAAAGTTCCTCCACCCACGTCGCGCCCAACATATAGCATTGACTGTGTCGCTGAGACGGGCAGCTGAGAAGAAGGGGGGCGGAGGACGGATGGGGAGGACTCTGCTGTCGGCTCCCTTATCCATGTTCCGATGGCCGGAACTTGGGCTCGCCAACCTCACCGGCAGCTTCTTGGACTTCTCGGGTCTCATCCCGAGTTGGCGGTGGGCAGGACTCCGGTGGCCGGGCCTCGACTTCTCGGTGGTGGACGACGTCCTCTGGTCCCTGGTCACGGCGTTCGAGTCGGTCGCCTTGGTGGCCATGCTGTGCTTCTTCTTCCTCTGCTGTGGCTGCACCGTATGATCCAAGCTTCGTCGGTAAGTTGTTCCTTCTGCAGTACTTGTGAGTGAGCTCGTTAGATGAACAAGAAAGCTTGTAGTAGCGGTATGTAAATGCTTGCGTTTGCTATATCCGAAGGTATTGTTGTCCTTCAAAGCTATGCTAAACCCAATCAAGAAGTAAATTGAAGAAACTCGTTCCGCTTTATTATATCATTGAATTTTAAATGAAATAAGATCGGATTTTTTTTGGGCAATCAGATTTATTAGATCCGCTTGATGAACATCCAACCCAGTTTGAAATACCTAAGATTTCAATCGAGTTTGGATTCGAATAGAATTAAATCGACCGATTCATCGGTTCCTACTCACTGAATTATTGTACCCTTGTTTTGGGAGCCGTATGCGAGACAGCTTTTAAAGCTTGACTGTGGTAGCGCCGAATGCTTTAAGCTCTGTCATAGCGTGGCAGCCTCAAAGCTAAACGAGGCCACGCTGGGTGTCTCGAGGCAGGGTTCGCAATTTCTCGCTCAGAAATGTGGCCTCAACCGCCAGCCCTATTGTTTTGTGGGCTGAGATTTCTGGTTTATGTCGGGGTTCAAACAGGAAATCCTCAGTTCGCTTAGGGCTAATCAGACAAGTCAGGCTTTGTCGTCTACCCATCAGAAAGATACACGACAAAGTGGAGTGGGGGCGGACGAAAGACAGGAAGTTCTGTAGGAGAGGTGAATCGCCCGCGAAATGTTTCAGGAGTTCTCTCACTTCTTAGAAAACAAACACGTGCGCGAACTCAAATGTTTGGATTATTTGTTTATATGGCGATCTTCTAGAAAAAATCTTTCTTTTTTTATTCTTTTCAAAGATATTTCCTATTTTTATTTTTTCAAATGATTTTTCTGTTCGAATAATATCTAAAATACCCTTCATTAACCCATGATACTTTTGTCACTAATTACAATGTTTTGGTTTATTATAGTATTTTGATCATCACAATAAAAATAATATAAAGTATACCTAGAAACAATAGAAACGATATAAATTTGGTATCATAATAATACATGAACAATGACAAATAAAGAGATATAATATGATGTTATTTATGATATTTTTATAATTTTATAATATTTTTAATACCTTAATAAAAATATTATAGGTAAGTCAAATAAAACTAAAGTACGCTAGAAATATTTAATATGTTATATTAAGATTTAAATAGATATTTATAATAGTTTAAAAATAACATCGCTCAAATAGAGATAAAAAATTGATTTGTAATAGTGTTTTGGCCATCATAAAAAAATACTATAAACCCTAAAGCCTATTTTTAAATATTGTAAATGATTCAAATGGATTTCTAACTTCAACCAAACTGTTAGTATTTTTTAATAGCTTTATAGTGTTTTCGGTACCTTAATAAAAACCATGTAATGCTATTAAAAAACACTATAGATGAGTTAAATGAAAATATTGTAATGATCCAAAATTAGCAAGAAAATTATCATTAGGGTTGATAAGCAATTTTTTTTTGGATATTATTTGCATCGACAAGAATGTCTTTTGAAAAAATAAAGAAGATTTTTTTAAGAAAAATCACCCTTATTTATATTGAAGCTATACAGTCAAATACAAATATAAAGATGCATCGTCTAGTCAAATATAAGTTATATAAAATTTTCGATTGGAAAATATTCGTTTGATAAAAGTCAGTATCGAAAAGATGTTTAACTTGAAAGTATTCGTAAGCATAGTGAACAAGTAAATCAGTTTGTAATAAGAATAAAAAATATAAAATAAATGCAAACCAACTTTATAGTGGTTCGGTTGTCTCGACCTACGTCCACTCTCAATTCCTCTTTCGTTTAGGCTATCGACGTTCACTATCAATCTTCTTTCAATGGACGAAGATCAACTATCCTCTTACAACTCTTTCTCCTTTTGACAAGCTCAAGTAAGAATCTTTATAACTTCTCTTTTATACTAGACCTTACTCCTCCCTTAAAAAGATATTTAACTCTAGAAGGAAGAGACTCTAAACTTTAAAAGAGATTACAATACTTTTTCACTCAAGTATTCTTTCTCCTTTCTATTCAATTTCTTACTACCTCAAGCATGAAAGAGTAAGGTATTTATAGACCCTATATGGCTTAGAAAATGGAGCCAAAAAGTATCACATCCCTAGTTTCAAGGGTACTGGAGGTACTACTACTTGCACCCCTAACCACTGGCGGTACTACCGCCAGTTTGAGCCGTACTATCACATGATAACCTCGGAGATAGGGCTTTAGCGGTATCACCGCCTATCAGGGCAATACCACCACCTGACATTAGGCGGTACCATTGCCCATACACTGCTTGGGAGGCCGAGCCTCAAGTAGTTCCACCGCCAACCCTAGTGGTGCCACCGCCTAACTTGCTCCAGGTCACTGAATGGGCCACTTAATGAGCCCAACTCAGCCCCAAATCAAGTCCAATGGGGCTCCTAATTGAGTTAGCATGGTTACACCCGAAACTAACTCAATTAGACCTAAACTATTTCGATCTAGATACACATGATTACAAGTATGAATCATATGTTATACGACATGCCATTGGATCATCCGATGCTTCGTCTGATCCTTCAGCGCATCATCATCTCCTTCGGCGTATTGCTCAATCAGCATGTTGACCTTCCATAACATCCGATCTCTTTTAGCGTAATGTCCGATCCATTGGCCCGATACTCGAACTCATAGCATAAAGTTCTTCTAGCACATCGATTAGTCTTCCAACTAACGTCCAATCTTCTAGCATGTTCCACTTTGACCTGTTGCATTTTCATGATTGAAGTTAGTCCCGTATCACTCAAACGCACATTAAATCATAACTTCATTTCATCATCAAAATCCGAGATTCAATCGTTTGTTTTTAAATTAACAATATATATATTTCATATAATTTATAGGCAATTTGAAGTATTTGTTGCTTTACAAAACCTTTTCTTACATTGAGAAATATTCTGTTACTATGAGTGCTAAATGTTATATTTTACCTCTATTTGTAAAACCATTAGTTTCTAAGTAATGAGGTCTAAGAATTGTTCAAACCATTAGTTTATTCTTTATACTATTAAGTTTGGTTAATGTGACTATGATTTGAACTATATCAATAATAATTAAGTATTTAGATTTGTTATCAAACTAAAATTTTTTGTGGGTATCAGGATAAATATATTATCTATAATATTTAAATATGATTCTTAATCTTATGACAGGAATATGGTATGATCATAGCAGTTATTTTATTATATAACATTCATTCTAACGTGTCCTTAGCTGTATGTTTAATTGTAAATATGTATTCTAATATTTTTTATTTTGAAAAATAATTGGGTCTTATATATTACTTAAGAAGTTTATGATTTCTCTAAATCTTAAATAGAAATATAGACATATTAAACTCATAATAGAGTTTTGGATACTAAATATGCAATATTACCAATTTACTCTCACGTCAATTATTGAGGAAAAATTTATAAGGGCAAGATAGACAGGTTGTAGAGTGGAATCAGAAGGGAAGGTCATGAAAAGTTGGAATCCCCATACATTGGTTAAGATTGGTTCTCGTTGAAATGCCAAACATGATTTGATTATAGTTAAACAATACGAACACGAAGACGCCTCTATGTCATCCGAGGTGTGTCGTTGATCGAATGTTAGGATCCATCACTCACATTATCAAAGATTTTGCAAGCCCAATTAGTATTAGATTTGTTCCATATTGGTTATTACAATTCTGAGTTTCGAGGAATTATATTTGCAAGCCCAATAATTGGTTATTTTGATTCACGTTTGGCTTAAAAAAGGAATATTCATGTCATCTAAAATTTGCATTTTAGCATGCAGACACGCACACGCATGCACATGCACACGTGCGCATCCATGAGAGCATGCAAACACATAAACACATACGGACATGCATATATACGCACCAATGGACAAACGGACGGATGCATAACTTCACACGTGCTAACAAACACCACATTGCTTGAGATTTGATACTATTTTGTAGGGGTAATAAGACAATGGTATTAAAATAATAATATAAATAATTAATAAAAAAAGATATAAATTACATGTATAAGATTTATGGGGGTAATTACATATTACCCCTTATAGTTAACTATGATTAGCATTTCGATCCACATACTTTAAAATGTGGCATTGAGGTTCCTACACTTACAAAGGTAAAACATTTAACCTCAATTTATTCATTTCGTTAAAAAAAAAGCGCACATGTAAAAGAAATTGAATAAAATGATATAAACGTAATTTCATTATCTTTCCAAATTGCTGCAACTTGTTGTGCCTTCTTGCTCGCCCACCGCACCTACTCGTCGATCGCTCACCCGTTCCAACCATACCAACTGCACCTGCTCGCTTACTACCTCTCTTTCCAACATGCTCACTCGTAGTCCTGTCATCCCCGCCCTAACTGATGATGACTTCAACATCGTTAGAGAAGTTTATTGCTTTTGTATGCCAAATGTGTCTCCACTTTTGTAAAAGTGCTACTTTGTAACTCTCCTATGCAAGAGTGCTATCGCGATGTACCCGTTGTTCACTAACGGGTGAGTGGCGAACAGGAAGGTGTGACAGGCTGTAGACAAGTAATTTAGAAAGAGGAGAAGAGAAAATCAGTAAAGTTTATATAAAATTAATAATTTAAAAAATAATAAAATTATATTTTTTTATCTTTTCAATTTGTGATATTTTTATGTATGTGACAATACGTGTGATTTTTTCCGCTGACAAAATTAATGATGTAAAAAGAATTTGGATTAAATATTTTACCTTTGTAAGTAAAGATATTTCAATATTATTTTTTAAAATATATAAACCGAGATGTTAATCATAGTTAACTATAGGGGATTATATGTAATTACCCTAGATTTATGTGATTTAATACTCTTGCTTACCTAAAAAAAAAAGTGAGAATAATAAGATAAAAGAAAGAGAACTCACCCAAACCCAATCCAAAGTCCTCCCATATAAATTTTGAAGAAAACTTACATCTAGCATAATTAATTTATAGAATATATTCTCATAAAAAATAATACTCTTTCTAAACTTAAATTCTTGGTCAACGGAGCAAAATCTTTCTCCGAAAAAGTTGATTGTGTTTCGATTTTCCTGTAAGTAAATATAATTTAAATTAAGGTATCCAAACAATTACCTGCAATTTGGTCAACTACAAGCTGATGCTCGAGAGAATAAAAATACAAAAGGAGTGGACGTGGAAGCCCCGCAGGCAGGCGTCAGGCAACTTGGTTGGCCACCAAAGTAGGAGTCCTGTTTGGCGAGCCTACAGTGTTGTGAAATGGCAACTCCTCCTGAAACTTCAACTGCACACCAAGCAGTGGACGCCTTCTGACCACAGAAAACAGCTCTACGATAGATTGCTGTGATCTCATCGTATGTGTGTGTATACATATAAGTCCAATTATGTAGAGCCAATCCATAGACAATATGATATGGCCAACACGGTTTCGTATTATTTCCACCACATGACTTACTTCGAACGTCCATCACAATTAGAGTCGTCTTTGATTTATCATAGAACAGCATCATTCCAGATAAGCTGTGAACAAAATTACTTGTCACTCGATTGCGTACTCAATAGCATACTCATGCGTAATATAATCGAGTAGAAATCAATTGTATATAATATGTCATTCTGAAAATGACAGTAAATATTTATCTTATGCAGATGATAGGTATTGAATGATTAGATTTGATGTGATCCTGATAGGTACACATTTGAAAAGAACCTTCATCATACAACGATGATGAACGCAAGAGGTTTCTTACAAGAAAAGGCTTCAACCACAACACCTGGGACATGTTCCTTTCGATCGAGCTTTGTGCCTTCAAAACGCTTTACGATTGACTACCAAATCCATTTAACACGCATTCCCGCAAGCAGTACTCTTTTTGTTTCGAGTTCTACCAAAATGCACTCCAAGTCATCCCCGTCTCTCGCCTGCAAAAAGTCTTGTCCTCGTTTTCATGGTGTTGCTTAGCTGATTTAGCAACTTCTTCACCCACCCTTATGTCACTCTTCGAGAAAATATTATCTTTTTCGTGCATGTTTCTAAAAGTAAATAAGCGTTGAAAAGGAACATCTGCAAAGAGAGAGAGAGACAGAGAGAGAGGAAAAAGAGCACTTCGTCTGCCCTCTCCCATCAAACTTAGTTATGCATGCCGAGCATGTGATTTATTTATATGTATGTTTGACCACCAATTGATAATGTAGTGGCCGGGACTCACTGCATGCACTTTTCAACGGCGTTGAACAATATGATATATTTTTATTATGTATATGTAGGATAGGACGGTCATCTGAGGCCATGGATCCATGTGACAGAGATGACTGGTTTTCATGTGGAGACGACACGATTCATGAGGGTTGTGGTGATGAACGAGGCAGATTGAGCCATGCAAATAAAAATAGCACGCCAAATGCAACGTATCCATCAACCTTTGCATCACCGGGCTACGTGGATCACCACCGGGTCAAAACACCAGAATGATTGGAGAAAGGATGAGGGGAAGCTCCGTCTTCCATGGATGCATGGATCTCCGTCCATACTGAGAGCCTAGAAACAGCTTTAAAATATATATAAAAAGGGAGACACGTCGCCACTGTGACACAGAGGACGGCGCCGAATCCTCTTGACTTTGTTTATGATGGTAATGGCTCTTAGTCCCTCGTCTCTGTATAAATCATAGGAGATGTCAGTGTTCCTATTCGAACTGGTTCGGTCTTCTACTTAGCCTGCCATCTGCTTCATCAACATAAGTTCGCAACGCCGATCGAGTTGTTCGATTGAGAGGGTAATCTGTGCATCTACGGCATGGGACGAACACCTTGCTGTGATAAGAGTGGGTTGAAGAAGGGGCCATGGACACCTGAAGAGGATCAGAAGCTCATCGACTACATACAGAAGCATGGACATGGGAGCTGGCGAACTCTTCCGAAGAATGCTGGTAATTGACGCTCTCTCTCTCTCTATCATGTAAATATTACTTTTGTGCGTGAATATGAATGGTTTAACTCATCCACATGAAGTTTTGTGAATATATAGGTCTTGCGAGGTGTGGGAAGAGCTGCAGGCTCAGATGGACGAACTATCTAAGGCCCGACATTAAAAGGGGAAGGTTCTCATTCGAAGAGGAGGAGACGATAATTCAATTACATAGCATATTGGGGAACAAGTAATATCTACTGCAATCTATCTTTTTCTACTTGTCCTCAACCAAAACATCGCTCTAGTCATTAAGTCTTTGTGATTTCATCAACTCATTAGGTGGTCGGCGATCGCTGCTCGGCTGCCCGGAAGAACCGACAACGAGATCAAGAACTACTGGAACAGTCACATCAAGAAAAGGCTTATCAGAATGGGGATTGATCCCGTCACTCACACCTCTCTTTTGAACGCCTCCTTGTGTAATCCTACACTACTGAACCTGTGTGGATTACTTGGTCTTCATCCTCTGATCAAGACCGAGCTCATGAGGATATCCACAAACATCTTGGCATCCCAGAGTCAAAGTCCAAGCCTTGTTAACCAAAGCATCCAAGGCCAACAGTACTTGCCGCATGATGCACAAGCTCAACAGCATTTGGAGCTCTTCCAAAACCAACAGCTTCAGAATCAAACATTGCTAAACGCTCCATTCCCGGATGGAGGCCAATTCCAGGAAGCTGCTGACACCAACTTGTGGCATGACATTGTCATCTCAGACACTCATCTCATGAACGTGACGGGGGTTGACAATAACAACTTGGAGGCTTCTATTCCCGGTTTGGTCTCGGATAGCTTCTGCATTAGTGGGAACAACAGCCAGAACTACAATCTGGCATCTATCTTATCAACACCTGCTTCAAGTTCAGACAATATGATCAGCTCCCCACCATCGACATACATGAACAGCAACACCGAGGACGAAAGGGACAGCTCCTGCAGCGATATCTACGATTTTCAAATTCCGGATCTGTTGGATGTAAGTGACTACATGTAGAAAAGGCAGATGTGTGAAAGAGGAACAAGAGAAGAACAAGAGCCAATTACGAAGAGAGAGACGAAGATCATACAGATCGTGCGGAAGGAAAAGAAGTAGAAGAAGAAGAATGTGTACAAAATGTGAATGAAAGTCATGTTTTCACTTCTTTCTTTCTTTCTTTTTTTCTTTTTTTTTATTATCCTTTGTAGAGCCATTCAGTGGGTCATTGTTAAATGTGTTTGTAATCAGTTCCTATTGAAAAGATCTCCTTTCTCCATTTTATTTTCACCTCAGTGACCAAACTAACAATAGCGAGTCAAACTTTATTTTATTTTCACATCGTGATAAAAAAAAGATTAATATATATTGAGTTAAATATTAATTTAATCTAAAAAATTAAGCTATTAAATTATGGGTTAGACTCAAATATATATTATCCGACTCTTAATGTTTATCAATGTAAGATTAATTTTTAATTTTTTTACACGTAAATATTTTTTAATAAAAATAAATTTGAACCTGAAAACAATGGCTCTGACAACATATCAAAATGTGATAGCGGTGATGCTATTGGAAAATAATTCTGATGCTGTATTGGAAGGCTCAAATACTTTATACACAGAGAGATATGAAAGAAGAAAATATAAGATGTAGTGAAATGAATATTTTATTCACGCAAACAGAAAAAACCTCCTTATATTTTTAACATAAACAAGATATTTATTGGAAGTAATGTCAAGCAATTTGAGGATGATGAGTTGTTTATTTTTTAATAAGAAGAGACTTGTATAATTGTTTGTTAATTACAGGACCTTTTACAATAAGAGGACCAAAGTCAGAACTACAGCTTAAGAGTCCTGCGACTGATACTTCAAATTGGCTGCACCAATTCATACTGTAGCACCTGAGTCCTGCGACTGATACTTCAAATTGGCTGCACCAATTCATACTGTAGCACCTGAGTCCTGCAAGCAAAATGTAAAATGTACACAAGGAGAGATCTTGAAGCCCAATGAAGATTGTCCTTCCTCCGTATATAGTTTATAACTTCAAAACGAAACGAGGTCGATTTTCTACCTAACTTCAGGAAGTAGGAAAAAAATAATAGAGGAAATTACGAGTATTTTCAAAGTTGGTTAACTTCAGGAGAAAGAAAAAAAAAATAGAAATAACTATGAGTACTTTTCAATTTACAGTGTCTTAGATTCATCTAAAAGCATCTATTAATATTAGTCAAAAGATAAAGTATAATTTTTTTAAAATAATAAAGAAAATTTAGTACATGCCAATTAATCTTTTCACCCTCATCTATTTATTTTAATCTATTTTTTATCTTTTATTTCATCTGATCCTAACTTATTTAAATTAATCATATTATACCCCTTAATTCAAAATAGTTGTAACTTGAAGTTGTCTCAAAAATAAAAAAATTTACTTCCATTAAAGTTTTTGTAAAGATATCAACAAGCTAATTTTTGATGTGTTTAGTATGCTCTTGGAAGGTAAGATTCTTTGTCGTTGCTATTGAATCTGGTATTTTGATGATTAAATCAATTGATAAGTATTTATGTTTTAATCTACGTTTTGAGTGACGCAGGATGCTTTGATCAGGATAAGACAATTAAAGCAGGAAAAATCATGTTGGGCCGGTGGAACATGTCAGATGATTGGACGTCGGACCGGTGGATCAGTCGACTTATCGACAGAAGGCTTCGAGCCGTGGATTCGGGCATTGGGCCAAGAAGAGCAGATATTACACCAAGGATATCGGAGTTACGGAGTCAATTGGCCGATTAGACAATAGGCCGCAAGAGAGGACGATACGCCGAAGAATCGGACGAAGCGTCGAGGGACCAATAACATGCCGGACAACTTGATTAATGCTTAGTATTAATTGTCTAGATCGAAGTATGTTTTTACATGTGTAGGATTAACTATGATAGCAAGGCATAAAGCAAAATAAAGTCCCGGAGTCAAGGACGCGATTTCGTTGGGAGTTCGAGAGTTCGTCGGAAGTCCGGACGTTCGTCGAAAGTTCTAGAAGAACCAACCGAGAAGTCTCGGAGCTTGCCAGAGAAGCTCGTCGGAACTCACCAAGAAGATCGTCGTGAAGTCCAAGAGTTTGTCGGGAGTCCGTCGAAAGTTCGCCGAAGATCGCCAGAAGCTCACTAGAAGAATAGACATAGGGACTTATTTTGCTTAGCGAATGTCTTATGATTTCGTAGTTAGCACGCAATTGGGCTTGGATTTGGGCCAACCCAATTAGGGGTTAGCTAGGCCCATGTAATCACTATGTTGGGCCCAATAAGAAGCTCAAACAGTACCCCAAGAAGTCTCATTATCGTGGCACTGTCTTCGAGATTATGTCAGGCGGTGGTACTGCCAGAATGGGCGGTTGTACCGTCGCTGGCAGGGTGCCAGGTGGTGGTACCGCTAGTCTGGGCGGTTGTACCGTCACTGGCAGGGTGCCAGGCGGTGGTATCGCCAGTCTGGGTAGTGGTACCACCCAGCACTACGCCCCAGGCAGTGGTACCGCCCGTGCCCAGGGAACCCAGGATGGGAAAGTTTTAGGCTCCAAGTTTGAATCAACTTGAATCCTATAAATACCCCTCCCATCCCTGGTTAAAGCACACAAGCACAGAGAGTCTAAAAGCAAAGAAACGCTACTGCAATCTCTTTAGAATTCCCTCCTCTACTCTAAGTGTTAGATTTCTGTAAGAGAGGAGTGTGAGTGCTTGTAAGGGTTATCTCCTAAACCCGATAAAAGGAGAAGAGAGGTATAAAAAGTGATTGGCCTTCGCCTATTGAAGGAAGACCTCTAGTGGACGTCGGTGACCTCGTCGGAGGAGGAAGCCAAAAGTGGATGTATGTCAAGATTGATCGAACCACTCTAAATCTCGATTTGCATTTATTTTCTGCTATTTATCTTAACTGCAAACTGCCTTCATTGCTTTACATCAACTACACTTCCATATGCTTTTAATTTAAGTTAAGTTTTCGAAAATGGTTTTACGTCAGAAACGGTTTTATCGTACGAAAGTTTTTAAACCATCATGATTTTACCGCTACACTAATTTACCCCCTCTCTTAGTGCCGACTCTTGATCCTAACAATTACAAAATTTACTTTTTTTTTTTGTCATTGCAAGTTTTTGTAAAGATATCTTTAGTGCTACAGTAATTTAATCTAAATTTCTCCTTTATTAATTAGTTCACGAACAAAATGATATCAAACTTTGATATGTTTAGTACACTCATCGAAGGTAAGATTCTTCATCATTGTAATAGTAGACTTATTGTCGTACTAGATTTTAGTTAATCCATCTTGTTTTTCTTAGAGATCTACTAGAATTCTTTGAAGTTAAATAATTTGATATGCTGTACTTATAGTCGCAATATACTCTGGCTTAGAGCTTGCGAGAGTATCACATTCTTTTTTTTCTTATTATTGTCTAAGAAATCATACCTAAGCCAAAGCTGAGCACAAATACTAAAGTATTTTTTACAACTAGCCTAATCACTATTAATATAAGAACATAACTGCAAATCTTTTACTTTCAATGAGAGTTCTCTTGATGTATTTAAGAACTCTTTTAGCTGCTCCAAAATAATGCTTCCTAGGGCTATACATGAATTTGGATAATAAAACAACTACAAACATAATATCCTATCTTAAATGTTTGAGTTTAATTAACCCTCTAATTAAACTTCTATATTATTACTCATCTATTTTTTTAACTCTATCATCTAACATAAGTTTATCATTTGTATTCATATTCATTGGCTAACAAATTATTATATGAAATTTTTTTAACAAATTTTAAGCATATTTTTCTTGGCACAAAAAAATTTCATTTGCATCTTGAATAATTTTCATTCCCAAGAAGTAATGTAAAAGCCCTAGATCAGTCATTTCAAATTCTAACATTATATTTTTTTAATTTAACAAGCATATCTGATGAATTTTCAATATAAATTATATTATCCACATACAAATAAACAAAAAAAAATTATACATTGGGCTCTTATATATAAAGATAGTTCACTTTAATTTTTTTGAAAATTATATTGAAGAAAGTATTTGTGAATTCGGCTATACCATGCTCCGATGCTTGATTCAAGTCATAATATCACTTCATCAATAATAGTAGTAGTGAGTTCATATAAGGAGAAATTTAAAAATAATAAAAAATACTTTATTTTTTTATCATCCTTGTAATTGCTATCAATTTATCATTTTTTATTATAAATTAAATATTTTTATTATATAAATAGTATAATATCATTTTCTCGTAAGTTGACCTATACTAATGAGATTTTGTTTTAAACTAGGAATAAACATTACGTTATTAATAATTTTTTTATCAAATTTAGTGTTCACATTAACGGTTCTTTTTATTTTCACTTAAACCTTACTATCATTTTCCATCTATATTGTTGATTTAATTGAATCATTAAGTCTTTGAAATAAAATTTATCCTTTATCATATGATTACTGCATCCATTATTCAAAAACTAAACATCGAGAATATTCTTCATTAGATGCTATAAAAAATATTTTTTTCATCCTTTTTTTTCACTATTATTTTCTTTATGGTAATTTGCTTGATTTTTATTCTAACAATCTTTCTCAATATGATCATATATTTTTTACAATGAAAGTAGAGAGAAACATTTAAATTTTTATTTTTTAACCAAGAAACATTTAAATTTTTTATTTTTTACAATATATCTTTTTTTAATAAAAATATTTATTAGTTTCTTTTTTATTTTCATTAGAGTTCCCTATCTCTCATTTGATAAGTCTCTCCCCTACCTTGAACACTAAATTGTCCACAGCCTTTACAATTTTGATCCGAGATCTGGTTTTTTTTTTTATTATTTATCTTTATTTGAAGAGCATGAAGTTTTTGTTCATGAATTAAAAAAGAGCCTATTAATTCATTAATGAATAATGTACTTGTATCTTTAGCTTCTTCTATAATAATATAAATCATTTCAAATTTCAGAGATAAACTTTGTAAAATATTTTCTACTAGAGTTTGATCTTTTAGATTTTCATCTCAGTTTACAATAAAAAAGATTATGAGAGAAAACCAATGATAAATTTAGAATATTTTATTATAAGATTTCCGAATTCATGTCAAAAAATTTGAAGCTTTAAATTTTTTACATTGTTTGCTTTTTAACGTATTTTTAAATATATTTTAAGCTTCTGTTGATGTTGATACTATCATTATTCATAAAAATAGGGACTCATCTATTATTTATTATAGCATGTAGAGGGCT